GGGACTAATTATTACTCAGATAATACATATGTCCCGACTAACATATTTTATTGTTTATGGCCTGTATTCAACGGTCACTTAAATAATAAACGTGTATTTGAGGGACGAAAACATTTGAGCATGCTGACGGTAATTGATTTCACTGAAAACTCTGAGAGTTCCTCAAATGATCTGGAGAAACGTGATCTACGTCAAAGTTTTCTTGAATGGACTTTTTTCTTTTAATGGGCTTTTCTATAAACCAGTTGCCCTAGAGTTGGGTGGATGAGCCTGTATTAAACGTGACTGATGGAACATCGCGGAAAATGTACCCGCAAACAATTTTACTAACAAATTTGTATGATTTTCGCAATTTCTAAACCCCACTAAAACTAAACCTAAGGGCAGTAGGTGGTATCATATTTACCATTTTTCCATTATGACAATTAAATTATATATTGCTTTTATTCCGGTTCCACTTGTAATAATAATAATAATAATAATATTAGCTTTAAATAATATATAGGGGAGTAGTCCCCTACCCCACCCCGAGGCCTTTAAAGGGAACCTCGGCTGAAAAACAGTTTTAGTGCTAAAGTATACTTAATGGTTCTCCTTAACTGGTCTTGGGGTTTTACGTCGATATTTCCATTACTGGTTCGAATGCGAAGCGTTCGGATTTCAGTTTAAATATCCCGCGCGCCGCCATGTTTTTCTTTCGCAATGTTTTATGGGAGTTCGTGACGTCACTGCGTTGTCGAAGGTTTCAACATGGCGTCTGCGGAAGGTGATTTTGCTGTTGCTCCTTACAATTTTGAGCCTGAGTACTCAGAGGGCGAAGAAAGCTACGATTCTCGTTCGACTGAAGATAGTGATGAAGAGGTTTTGGGGCGTTTGATAAGTTTAGAGTGGTGCAAATGTACGAATTGCGCCACAACAACCTTGAATCAACCAAGGGAATGCCTCTGCTGCATCGAAATACCCGAAGCATCGGCTCTGGCGGATTTCAACAGTGAAGTGGTTAAGTGCATTGTTGAGCACGGACGATTTTGGTGCGGTTTGTTTGTGTAGAGCGGTGTTAAAAACAAGTCTCGTTCGCATTAAACATCTGGTTCAAGGAATGGATCATTTTAATAACGTGTTGTCTGCTGAACTCCCCAACGAGTATGTATTAAATTCTTGTCAGTTTTTCTCATCAAGCGTGGCTGTTATTATTTTCTTTTCTATTTTATGAAAAGTTCTGATTCAAGCACCGCTAAAGAATTCGATGATATCGAAATATGTAACTTCGATAATACTATATTGTAGTTTTAATACTCCGTAAAAACTAAAATCTTAATTTAAGACGTTTCGTCTTACCACAGAACCAGAACAATAGCTGAAGATTGACGTCCGCTATTGTTCTGGTTCTGGGATAAGACGAAACGTCTTAATTAAGATTTTAGTTTTTACGGAGTATGTTATTTACTAGTCTGAAGTGTCAGTCTCACTTCAGACTTTATTCTTTATGATTTCACTTTTAAAAAGATCGGAGCGATTCTGCTAGCAGGGTATGGGAATTCCTTGGCAAATTACACGGAGCAGTTGAAGCAAGAGATTAATCTTCTCCTTGGTTGTATATGTTGTGGTCTAAAATTATGGTAATGAATACTAGACAAAGGAAAATAAAAATCAAACTGGTTTTAAAAATTTTAAACCAAAAACAAATTTAAACCACAACATATATATACACAAGTCATTCAAAATCATATAGGAAACTATTACCCATCGATCTACAAGAAAAATGTAAATAGAACCTTATTACAGGTTATCAATAGGTCATGATAAAGATCATACTGTACCTGCTTTCTTGAAGCATTGTGGTTGTGGTCAAGAGCTATAAGTTTGGTTGCCTCCTCCATCACTTTGTGCGAGTAATGTGTATGTTTTGGGAGGTGTTTGAGGTAAAGAGAGTGGTATGCTTCTAGTGATGTGGTGCGAACACAGTCTGTTAGGTGAGGAAGGGTCTTCAGTAGCCTGGTGTCATGCACAATTTTCAGCAAATCGTTGTGGGGTGGGGAACCAGGTGTGAGCCACTTTTTCCGCCTTGTACTCTCGTCTAGTTCCCCATGTTGACAGTTTTTGAAAAATTGGTTGCTTGGAAAGTCATGTCTGTTAACAACATGGTTTGTTATTGATAGCCACTTCTCCTTTAATGTATCTGCGTCACCATTACAAGTCTCAATACTCCACCAAAAATGGTTTGTGATTGATGGAATCCACTCACCCAACTTTTCGCTTCCCTTCTTTTTGGACACTGCCCTCAGTTTTTTAGTCACATTTTTGCACGCGTGCCATGGGTCAATATGGTGCTTTTTTTGTTTTTCTTCTTCTCTCATGTACTTTTTAATCTGAGGGTGTGAATCTGTAGAAATACCAGCCACATCCACTCCAGCTGCCTCAATAGTGTTAAGGGTTTCTATAAACCCCCTTTCTCCATGGCATTAGAATTCTTTACTTCGCACACCGAGACAACTTTGAAGTCCACAACCAAGTCAGTTTCTACATCCAACATGGTGTATGTACCATATTTGGCACAATGGCCTGGTGAATCGCAGCGTCCGTTCACCAGCAAGAGTAACTGGCTCAAGCCTACCTTTCAGTTTATCAAAGACCCTGCTTTGCTCTCTTTCCCAGTGAGTGTCAATGGTGGGATAAACATGTTTTTCTCGTAAATTATAGTAAACAATCCTCTCCGATAGATTTTAGGTTGATGGTTGAGGCAAACTGTTCAAATTTTGCAAATTGTATTCCACTGAAAAACAACCCAGCAGACAGTGCCAGATTTCCTTCCCCTTTTAACCCAGGAATGGAAGGCTGCGATTGCCAAGTAAAATTGCAATTGTTTAAGCAATTTAGTTTGATTGTGTATTGTGATCCATCATTTTCTCTTTCATCAATTTCATCCTCATTGACAGGGGAGCCACACTGGGGACAAAACCTCAGCAGTTGGCGAAGATTTTCCTCGTATACAAGCAGAATTCGTTTGCCATGGGAGAAATTTAGACATTCAGCACTCTCACTAGGTGTTGTACTTGTTTGGGAGGATTGAGAGGATGCTACATAGTCAGGATCAAGTTCCACCTTATCTTTTACTGGAGAGGATGGTGGCGAGGAGAAAAGCTCATCACCTGATTCAGCTGCTTCGGCAGTGGGGTGAGGGTGTTCAAAGAAAAACTCAGCTTGAAAATCACTGTCATTATTAGTCTTAACAGATGACTCTTTCTTGACATTTAAAGAAAACAATAAGAATGTTCATTTCAAAATCTCGTTAGCAGCGTCAAAAGGAAATTGCATTGTTTCATCTACCATGATTCTTTCATGGGGGGTTCCTTTGATTGCATTGTTTGTGTTATCAGATTTGGCATCATCATAGTCTTGTTTATCAAAGTTATCAACATCCTCAATCTCCACAAACCTCTGTTCTAGTTCCTGAGGTTCGACAACAAGGGAAGTATTTTGAGAAACCTCAAAATGTGTTGCCTCAACATCAACATTTTCTACCTCAATATAACTGTGCATGTCACCTTTCTCACATTCTATGTTACCAGAAGGAGTTTTGCTAGTAGTAGTCTGTTTTTTCTCTGGTGAGGTTGATTGCATCCTTCTCTTTTTACCCAGCACAAGTTCATCAATGGTCTGTATTAAATGCAAACACCAAATTGGATATTACTGTATTTATAGAGTGATGGCAAGGCCCAATGTTAAACAATAATTATTACTCCAAAACCTGAATTTGCATACCCAAGAATTTGACATTACAGGGACAGATAATAATCTATCTCTGTAACCTGGTTTTTCAGGTGCAAAGTAGGGGTACGTGCCCTAATGACGAGTTTGCGTAAAAATAGACTTCACAGTACAAAATAAATACCACCACTCGCAACTGAATATTTGCTAAATATTTGTTTATTAATTACATATTTTAGAGACAACAAGACTGTGCTGTCTTCTACATGGAAAATAATGTTTTTACTAAGCTTAAATTTTTCCTCACCTCTTGACGTTTACGTTTAGCAGCTCTCGCCACACTGGTGGTACGTTCTTTTGGCTGTGGTTGTGGTTTATGTGAGAAAATGGTGGGAACTGCATCTTCCTTTAGTCTTTTTTTGCAGCCAACCCCCAATATATTATTCCGAATATCGACGGATTCATCGAAACAGCTTGGGTCGAAGTGGGAAGAACAAAGATACACATTCTTCGGCAGATTTTGCCGTGGTCGACCAATAGCAGTTATCCAGTTCTTCCTCACTTGTTTACGATCTGCACCGCAGGTAACCGGTGGAAAGTGATTGAATCATCTTGTTTCTTCTTCGATTGATGGTTACAACCAACCGCACAACCGTGAGGCATATCAACTCTGAAAAGCTTGACGATAATATCTTTCTAATTTGACAACAATTTCGACAAATTCATATACAAATTCATATAAGTTTTACATTAGTAGAAAATTCTTACTTTAGCCGCCATATTGAAATCGGACGACAACGCACTGACGTCATAATCTCCCAGCAAACTTTGCGAAAAAAAACATGGCGGCTAGCGGGAAATTTGAAGGCAAAAAACCCCGAAAACAAACGCCCAGAATTCAAACCAGTTAAAGAATTATCGACTTTGAACCACTAAACTAGTTTTACACGATCACCAACTTATGATTTGGAGTAAAACTGTTTTTCAGCCGAGGTTCCCTTTAAGTATGAAAAATGTTGCAAGTTCTACACCAACCTCTTTCTTGACTCCAACTGTCTCTTATATCTGATATTATAATAATCCAAACAAGAGATAAATCAACATTTTCCAATGATTTTTTTAAAGGTAATTTACAATCATTGTAAATCATTATGGGCACATCAGCTCTGTAAGCACTACCTCCATTGCTAACATTGGTATCATTTGATTTTAAACATACAAGGAAAGTCGACAAAGATGTCATTTCAGTTTGACAGCATCGGGCAAACTTTTTAAAAATCTGTCAAAATCTGAGTCCCTGATGATAGTTGAACCCATGACCTTCTGCACAACAGTCAGATGCCCTAACCACTGAGATACAGGGAGACTCGTGACGAGCTACAACCTAAGACAGAAGTGTTGGCACGATCAACAGAATTAACTTCCCACCCCCCCCTCCCCGTCTCAATGTTGGGTTGCAACTACATTACCGCCCAACGAGGTGCAACCTTGTTATGGGGGGGGCATCTTTAGTCATAGTCAGACACTAACTTTATAATAACAAAGTTTTAGCGTCAATAGGAGAGAAATTTCTATTTGCAACAGTGAGCGTTCCAACTACTTTTGTCTTCGGTTGTAGGTCATTCACTAAAGGTTCATAATGGTTCATAATTATGTGGCACGCATCATGCATACTGCTAAAGCATCATGTGTGGTAATAAAGAAATCACAAAATCATGTTTGGATGAGTACATGTACATTTAACTTATTATTTATTTAAATAACATTTAAAAGTTGTAAAATAACAAGTTTACTCACTGAGTTGAACATTAATGTCCCAAACAAGAAGAGAAACATCACTCCTAACTTTATCCAGTCCGGCTGCCAGCTGAGAAGAAATGTCAAGAGAAAGTTTATAAATGTGGCTAAATAATGTAAGTATGGCAAAGTTAATCTTGAGTCAATGCGACCAGTGGTTTCCTCTCCTGGTTGGTACACTGTACGTGACCTGTGGGTAGCCTCAGGGACTTTGCAGGATGTCTTGTGACTTGCATTTATTTACATTCTTGTCGCATTTTGAGCTGATCTTTGTGGATCAATAATGCTATTATTACTCAAGGCGAATATTTAACAATTATCCTGCGAAATCGCGCGGAATATCGCCTGATACTTAGCCGACGAGGCCATAGGCCGAGTCGAGTTGGCTAAAATCAGGCGATATTCCGCGAGATTGAGCAGGATAATTGTTTTATTATTCAACAAATTGATGACACAACTAAAAAAAATACTCTTCTTTTATTTCAAGAACTGACTTGAACATTTTACCACGCGCATACAAAATTACATATATCGCAGGATATCTGTGAGTACGGCCAACAGATATCGAGTGCATCATGACCATATTTGGACAGTGTTACAATTTGTTGAATAATAATAGTGGCTCCCATCCCTCTTGGTTTGTGGGTTTAGGTAAGTATCAGGTTAGGTAGGTGAGTATTTTCCACTGAATTCTTTTCAGTGTGATTGTGCCTGGTGGTGGCCACTGTAGGGGTGGTTCCCTCTTGTAGGGTTGCCATGGATACCTCCATGTTGTGCTTGAATTGCGTTAGGCCCCCGCCAACCTTTACAAGGTACCAGTTCCCAAGCTCATCTATTAGCTGACCTTTTGAGAAATAGTCCATAATCAAAGCAATTAACTGCTCTGACTGATGGCTAACACTCAAAATATCAACTTTTCAAATTATCTGCGATGGTTAAGTTACCTGAATCAACTTCAAGCTGATAATTACGGGGTAACTAAGAATAAATTGAAGGGCTGGGACATAACTGTCCTATATTGACTTTTCATGTCATTGTTATGTTTTGCTCAGATTTGGTTAACTTTTTGCATGTGGGTTTCAATTTACAGTCGAACTCCGATTAAGCGGCCACCCTCGGGGAAATGGCAAGTGGCTGCTTAATAGGGGTTGGCGGCTTAATAGGTGGCCGCTTAATCAGGGGTCGACTGTATTCGAAAAACATTGCCCGCATTTTGATTTCCTGGTGAAATACCATTAAAATAAATCTAGACTAAAATCTTCTAGACTTACCAAATTATTCTCAACTGGATTCCATGCAAGGCTGTTACATTGCCGTGAATGCCTAGGGACTTGAAATTGAAAATTTCACGTTGAAATCATTAATTTTATTAACATTAATGATCACAATAATTGTTTTAATTGTGGTATTTGTAAACAGTCAAGGAAATAATTTATTAAAACTACGATTAATAGATTCTTACCAAATTCTCTAGCAATTCCCAAGTTTGCCTGATTGTTTTCACTACCAATGCTGAAAAAATATATTAATAAAGAATTACAACAAATAATAACAACAGTGTGATTGTTGATACATGACTGTATAATAGACTGTTAATAAAAGAATCAAACATGATCTTGTAACCATGGAATGTTTCTCAGGATCTGCACAAGGGCACCCAAGAATGCTTACCGGTAGTTTAATTTAAATTCAAATGATTGATAGTTACTATAAGTTGATTGAAAAAAAATAATAATAATAAATTAAAATAAAATAATAATAATAAAATAAAATAAAATAAAATAAATAAATAAATAATAACAAAATAATAAATTAAAAATAAAAAAATAAAAAAATAAAAAATAAAAAAAATAAAAAAAATAAAAATAAAATAAAATTAATAAATAAATAAATTAAAAAAAAACAAAAAAACACAAAAAAAACAAACAAACAAAAACAAAAAAAAAGTTGATTGAAGGACACTCATTATACGTCCATTGTTTATCATTAGCAATTTTCTGTGGAACTATTAGGGGTAAAGTTTGCTTTTATTTTGCTGTCTGTTGTAAAGACTGATTCTAGGACTGACTGTAAAATATATTTTCCACAGTGATTTCCACAGTGGGCACATTTAAACTGTCAAAATCCCCAATAAATAGAACAAGACCTTGGCACGCAAAATTGCAATTTTCAGTGCTTTTCGTTAAAACAAAAACAAAAAACCTCATAGAACAATATATTTATTTTATCATCATCATCATACATTTGTACCAACTGGTCCTCAGTTCCTCCCATACCACTTCGCTCTTGTCACATCCCACCACCATGCAGTTTTCACTACTTTTATGTTATTCTTTGCCATTATACAACTAGTAATAATTATCATAGGGCAATATACATGTACTTGACGTTTTCTTACCATGTGACTAGAACTCTGCCATTTGCTTGCCCGACAGCTAACAAGTGCTCTGGTTCAGGTCTTGGGTACCATGCAACACACTGTATATTATTGTAACAAAAATGTATGAGCAGCTGAAGTTAGCCAAAATATAGAGGGTTAGAAAGCTAGAATAGGCAAGCATGTCCAATATACCTGAAATGAGTCAAATCGTCAGTAAACCCAGACGATCCAACTGAGCGGAAGTCAGGTCGCGTGAGAAAAAAAGATATCATGATCACCTTCCTTGTTCTTAAAGTGTGTGCATCTCGCAAATCTACTTCCAGATAACAAGAAAGACGAGTCATGTTCGAGTTGAATTGAGTTGATTCGTCCACATTTTCTACCCTCCCTGTCAGCCTTCTTGTTGTAATTTTTCTAAACATCTCGCAAATTGATTTCCAGAAAGTTGGGTCGACTACAAGAAAGATGGGTCGAGTCTATTCATGCTTGTTATATATATATTTTTAAGTGCCTCGCAAATTGATTTCTGGTAAGTTGAATCGTCAGCTACCTTAGATGAATCGACTCAGGTTTGGTGTATTGGACAACTCTCAGAATAGGTGGGTATTTGAGTGGTAAAGGTTATCAACCTTACAGGGCTGCAAATAATTTTTTTTTCTTGAAAGGACCTGTGTCCGACTAAGTCACCATTTTGGTCGGACAAAACAAAAATGAGGTCGGACATCATATTACAGTACTGCTTGATAAGCGAACATGCTAATTTAACACGTTGTCATTGTCATCGCAGAGTAAACTACATGTAGTTTGCGTTTAGAATAAAACTTGTTAACGTTTGCGTTGGAAGGCAAAAAAAATTGGCCGGACATTAGTGTCCGACCAAGTTGGTATTTCATCGGACATTGGCAAATTTTGGTCGGCCATTGCCCGATGATCGACTGTTATTTGCAGCCCTGACCTTACAAACATTGAACAAGTTACCTTCAGAAATTGTATATCAGTCATGGCAGACAAAAGTGACGCATAAGTGTCATCGGAAAGTTGAATCACTGAAACAATAGCAAGAAAATATATTAGATTAGCCTTAGTCCTGAATAGAGAGGGTGCAAGTAAGCAGTTGAATTCAAGACTGCCAAGAACAACACCAGCCTGCCAGTGCTTGGAGTGGAGATCACCAAATTTTAAACCCAACTCTCTACAGTTGGCCAAGCAAAGTCACAAGTGGGGGGCAAGTTTCTAACTTGTGTTGCCTTACGACTTTGTTTGGCCAGGACTTATGAACACTTGCATTGACTTGCGAGAACTTGCCTTCACTTATATCAAGATCAAATTTGCACCTAAGTTGAAACAAGTTTTGTGTCCTTTGGCCACGCGATGCAAGTCAATATACAGTATGTCATGTTTGATGAATCAAGGAATAATAGCATAAACCAGTACCTTGGCTTCTTACACCAGCAACCTTTGGAGGAGTTTCCTGTAAAATAAAACACAAAGCATGATATAGTTAATTGAGTGAAATCAAACACAACTCTTTAATTTAGAGCGTAATGGGTTTATTCACCCAACCTAGGAGATAGGGGCCTGGGTACTAGTTTACTGTTCCATGTTGTACTCGTTTAGTCTGTGATGAGATTAAATATGCTGAATGTATTTTTTGGGGTAGAAAGATTTTGGCAGGGTTTAGGGTTATAAAAAATGTATTCTCCCCAATTTGAAAGAATGACATCTGTCACAAACTTTAGGTAGACTGCAGTCCCTGGTACAATATTTATATTCCGGAGATTATGATGAATGAATAAAGCTGGATACATGAACTATCTCGCACTCTCTTGATGTTTTTTTTTTACTTTGGATGTTTTATGCGGAGAAAAAAGGGACTTTTTGGGGGGTTATGTTCCGGGTTGTTGGACTTTTTTGGGTGGGGGGGGAGGGGGGTACTCGGGTAGATTCAGTGAAGGAGAGATGTGAAGTTATCCTTTGGGTTTGAAATTAGCAATTTGGGGACATTTTTGGGGTTAGAAATTTTCTGGTGAATTTTTTTTGGAGAAATATTTTAGCAGGGACTTTTAAGCTAAAACATGTATCACTCCCCAATTTGAAAGAATGACAGCAGTCTGCCTAAAGTTTGTGACAGATCAGCTGCATGATGAATGAATAAAGGATGTGGCCCATGAACTATCTCACACTCTCTTG